TTTAAGCATAAAAACAATAAGTGTAATACTGCTTTAAATTGTTGTTGTTTTTCCCCAACAAATTTAAAAAGTTTTGTGTTTAATTTAATAGCAATTTTGTTTTTGTTTTTCCGAGCAAAAAATAAATATCATACATAATATGTACACGTCAGAATAAGCATGTTGTTTGAATTTTTACATAAATATTGTGTCACACTGAACGACAATGTAACATTATTTCAACATTTTATTCTCCAAAATCTTATTTGAAACCTTAAAAGTAGACACTTTACTTACATTTAATGTGCTTTCTATGGACATATAATCACTTTTGTACATTTCTTTCGATGCGCACATCTTAACGTCTTTGACCCATATATATATATATATATATATATAGTTAGAGCACTCTCACTAATTTAAGAAGCACCCTAAGTGATTTGATGCTGGAGCCGGGCCTAAGGAGATATTTATGTGAACTGTGTGACTTTTCAGTGTAATGCACTCGTTCTGCGGTAAAGACAACGGACCAGGAAGAAGCCGCTGACGAGCTGGGCGATGCTGGAGAAGGCGGCGCGGTGGTTGTCGTCCTGCGGCAGGCAGCAGCACAGCAGACGCAGACGGCTCTCCCACACCCGCGACGCCACCGTGTGCGCCGTGTAAAAGAGCTGAGACGACTCGCTGCTCTCCAGATCCCTCACGCCCAGCGGAGCGTCTGGCAGAACACCCGGCCTCTGACTGCCCAGAGGATCGAACACAACCAGCACACCCACCACCATAGACAGGAGGATGATCCAGCTGAGGACACACACACACACAGTGCTTTACAAGCTAAACACTTTACCCTGCAGAAAGACTGGCTTTGTATGATTATCTAAGCGTACAATCAATCTATGAGTCATTCCATGCCAGCTTCCAGTAAATACATTCAATCACACAAGTGTTCATTGTGTCATCTCAAGATAAGATGAATTCATTTGAATACATTTTGGGATATAATTTTGCATTCTGAAAGATTGGCAGTTTTATAGTATAATCTGACTTTATAAGATCGTGCTACAGGTCTAGAAACCACAAGGTGCCAATCAGAAAGAGCATGTAATGCTTTATTCAGTTTTCAGTTATCATTATCATAACTAAATCATCCATTCTAAAAATAACTTGAGAAATTAACATCCCTTATTTTGAAAGGACAATGATGCTACTATGACAAAGTTGTTTTGATTTAGGGAATAGATCAGTACTTTAAAAGTGGAAGGAAACACATGCAACAGGGTTGAGACACAAGCCTATTTAATAATAAACAATAAATGTATTATTATATAAAAACATAAAGAGAGAATACTAGCTTTTATGTGCCTGTATTTTGTTTTAATCACAATTTGCATGAGGACAGGACAAATCCACATGTTTAGAAAAATGTCTATGAAAACATGGTACAAGTAATTCAACTAATTTTGTAAACATGCACTACTGTTTGCAAGATTTTTTAATGTTTTTGAAGTTTCCTCTGCTCATCAAGGCTGCATTTATTTGATCAAAAATACATAAAAATGTGAAATATTATTACATTTTAAAATATCTGTTTTCTATGTGAATATAATATAAACTGTACATTTCTGATTATTATCAATGTTGAAAACAGTTGTGCTGCACAATATTTTTGTGGAAACTGTGATGCATTTTATTTTTCAGGATTCTTTGACGAATAGAAAGTTCAGCACAACAGCATTTTTTGAAATCTTTTGTAACATTATAAATGTCTACTGTCACTTTTGCTTAATTTGATGCATCCTTGCTGAATTAAAGTATTAATATCTCGCAAAAGGATTTTTTTTTCCTTACCTGGAAACCACAGCTCCAATCACAGCCCCGACCTCCGCCGGCTTACACCCTGTGCTGTTGTCAGACACCCAAACGGCCCCCAGACAGGCCCATATGAACTCAGGGAAGTACAGGAGGGCCCGCAGATACACCAGAGCTGGCATAGAGCGCCGAGGACCGGGATTCATGATTGTTCCTAAACCAAATCACAGCAGCGTTACACTGACAAACCCTCCAGATGTGAAGAAACCACAGCATGCGTTCGCTCGCTCACTTACCTTGAGCACTGATGTAAACGATTGCACAAAGTGTCAAAATAATGACAGCCAAAAGAACGAGAAGAACTACGAGGTAATTATGCAGATATGCGCCACCTTGACAGTCAAATCGTCCCTTATGGTTGGTGTACAGAACTAAAGTCACAATCCACCTAAGAGACAAGAGATGACAAGAGGTTTGAGTGTCATTCAAGCACCTACACTGAACAAAATTATAAACGCAACACTTTTGTTTTTGCCCCCATTTTTCATGAGCTGAACTCAAAGATCTAAGACTTTTTCTATGTACACAAAAGGCCTATTTCTCTTAACACACAAAAGTACTGCATAGTACAAATATTAGAACATTAGTATGGTATTGACATATATTTATGGGCATGTAGTTGTGAATATCTTATCACCCCCACAGTAAGAGAGCTATTTTTTGTATTGTGGTATTTCTGTTTAAGTACCGTGGTGTGTATACTATGGTATTAACACTTCCTACTCGTGTAGGAAGCTCAGAAGCTCGTTGTTTTGAGTGTCTTACCACGCCGCTCTGATAAATAACTCGAAGGCACCAGGAAACACAAGATCATCGCTGGCGATCCGCCATCGGCGTCCAAACACCACCATCCCGGGCATCCTGACCGCTCTCTGATGATGATCTTCTCAAATTCAACCCAGATTTCCTTTCGCGATCATCAATGTATGACAGCGAGCATTACAAAACCCCATTACTCTGCCAGCCTGTAACTGCTCTTCGGATCTTAATATTGCGACATGTGGGTAATTAACGCCTCTTTCACTGACGTCTGACATGAAGAAACATCTCAGCCCTGCTCGCTTTGTTTTTCTGTTCTGTGTAGTAACGAAATGTGTCCGACTCCGTCAGATGAAGTTCCGGGAGCTACATAGTTCTGTGTGGAATTCAAGTAATTTCAGTGAATCGGTTATTTCGAACAGTTTGTTTATTGCGTTACTATAAAGCAAAATGTAGTTTATTATGTAACGGTTTTAAACATCCATTCTAAATTTACTTATGTTTATTGAAAAGTAATTCAGAACATACATTCATCTTATTAATCCATATATATATATATATATATATATACACAAAGTAATCGGTTTAACGCGTTTACATGGCAGAATTTAAATTTTGTTCGGTTTATAGAAAGGTTTATCCTACACCTCTCAAACCGATTACAATTTTATTCGGTTTGGGCATTTTTATTCCGATTGAGGTGCTTATATGGAGCATTTTCATTCGGATTGGACTTTTAAACCGATTACAATGCTCCGTGTAAACGCACCTAATGTCACAGGACAAGATTCTTGCTTTGATATTTAAAAGCTTCTGTTTTTTATGTTAATGCTACGTGGCTTCTCGAGTCGTGTGGTGGTCAAAAATGATTTGTGCATTACATTTTCAAAACAAGCGACGTTTCCCATAAAATCTTTATTTTAGGTTGTGCCACCATGCAAAAGCTCGATTCAAAGCAAATCTAAAACCTGGCTGTGGTAATTATTGTGATTAAAAAAGGTTTATATTAAAAGTCTGATCATATTGGCCAGAAATAAAATGAACAATACAGGTGTTGATATTAATATAGTATGGGCAATAAAGACTTTCTGCTGAAAAAGTGATTTAGGAACAATTCAAAATCAATATCTGTCCATGAGTTCACATTCCAGCATACTGCACCATATTTTACATCAATCCAAAAAAAAAAAATGTAAAAAAATTTTTGTTTAAAGCAATCAAACTGCAGGTGAATTTTCTGAAAAATAATTGTAAAAAAAAAAAAAAAAAAAAACTGCATTAAAATCTGTGAGAGCATTTGTACAATTTATTTTTGGTTCTTTATGAAGCCATTTACAGTGATAAAGGCAGTGTCAATACTGTACGCTGACAGACAATGGCACGGTTCCCAACAGTTCAGCTTTAAGTACAAATTTGAAATTTCCATCTTGCAAACATTGAGATTGCATCATTTGAACCTAATTAAACAAGAGGTTTGGGGAACCACTATATTATGACCGACCTTTTTTAACAAAGGATTATTGCAATAAGAATCTGAGCAAAAACTTTTTTTTTTTTATTATTCAATTTTACCCCATGGAGCTACAAATACTCCCATAATCTTTTTGAAAACGTACATTTAATCAGATTGAAAATACTCTTACAAACAAAATCAATACTCATCATAAGAATCAGTCCCTGCCTGTTAGCACCGAGGCAACGTTCAGCTCGTTTATGATGCCGTCGGTCAAATCATAGCACACGTTTCATGTAGAAAACTTTTTCTTTGATACAGAATAATAAAAAAGGGTAAGACAAGATGCATAAAACAGGAATCCGAAGACTTGGTTGAAGCTGTGGTTCTGAATCTTGAATCCAGAGCTGTTCCGGAGCACCTGATGTGAACAGGACTGGATCTCTTCTTTCGTACTCCGTCTCAGGCATCTTACTCGTCCTCTGCGTCCCGTGCGCCGCGCTCTTTCAGACTTAAGCTGGCAGACTCAGCTTCTTTCCTTTCAACACTGAAATAATGAAAAGAAACACTTGAGTAGCTTCCAACGATCAGATCAGAACACCATTTATTAAGACAGCCACAAAGCATTTGTTTAGATCCTGATAAGCATGTCGTTAAGAGCCCACTGGAATCAATACAGCCAAACAGTTAAACCCTAAACTACAATGATGATATACTGTTGCAAGTAGGCAGGATGAGAGTTTGCGATGATGCACTTACGGGCCGAATGTGCTGTGCATGGTCCACACCACTGTATTAAAACAATCAAGCCTGAGATGGGTGTTTCCTTACTGATTACAGTGATGTTTGATCATTGCTAAACTAGTAGTAGTCACATTGATTTCACAATCAATAGCAGTTTAAAACACTGAAACCCATTTTATTTTTCCTGATTAAAAAGCAATAAGTCATACATATATGCAAAATCTAAGACACTAGTTCTCAGTCCTTTTTACTCTAAAGCAATACTTAAAGACAATATTGGCTACGATTTCCTCTAGTGTTTTAGCTACTACTACTACTACTACTAATTCAATTAAATGATTGAATAATTCCTGATGGATGTTTGCTGAGAACCACTGAACTAAAAGATGCATTTTCAAAACAAGGATGGGCATTTCGGTCATTTTGTTAACTTAAGTACCTGACAGATTAATCGAGTGCCTTGAGTTATTATTATGTTTTCAGGATTGATCACTGCTGTACCTGTATTTCAAAACCATTTACACTAGCAGGTGCATTCTGAGCCTACACACCTGAGGGTTTTTAAACCCAAAACACTCACCTTTTGTTACGTAGAGATAAAAGAAATCGCAGTACAGGATTGTCTGAACGATGCCTGCCACGATGGCGATCATGTCGAAGAAGCCTTCGAAGTAGAAGCGCCAGATCCAGTTGATGAGATACAGGGCGCGATAGAGGCCGAGGAAGAACAGGTAGTGAGTGGTGATGGTCTCGGCTTCTCCGGTCTTGCTGATCATGAACAGTTGTGGGAGGATGGACACGGACTCCAGGTAGATGGAGAACGTCCACATGATCTACAATGAGGAGATGATGAGAATATAAATGGATAAACTTGAGACAAACTTGTAGGGCTGCCCTCGACTAAGGATTTTTCTGGTCGACTAGCAGTCGTTCATTTTAAGCATTAGTCGACTAATCGCACGTTTGCTAATAAACCATTAAACGAGGCCTAGTGCTCGAGTTCACATCACAAACGAGTGGATCAGCTGCCACATAAACAAATCACACAAACAGACTTTGACCAAATGTGAAGTTCGCACACTCAAAAAAATAGCCCTACAAAGTGTACAGTACGCGTTTTCTGCTAAACTCGCTGCGTTGCTCACCTGCACACGACCTGCTTTTCCATATCTTCAGCAGGAGGATGATGATGGCTGCTAAATGGGAGAGGTCCCCCGTCAGTCTGAATACGTTCATGTTTCTTTGGATGTGATGAAGGGTTTGTTGAGATGAATGCGGGTGCGGATCTTCCCCCTGCAGCGCGCTATAAACACGGCTTTCCCGACTGAAAGATGGCGAGAGCAGCGCGACGTGGCGTCTGACAGCGGGTTGGCTGAGCCTCAGGATGATGTTTGGAGTTCGTCATTGGGAGGAGAATATCGCTGGATAATTAATATATCGATTACACACACGGTTGTTTTCCTCTAGGGGCGCACGGAGGCTCCGAGAACCGGTTAAGGCTAGAAGGGATACTGGGCGTGAGTAGAGCATATAGCACAAAAGTCTTAAAGTCCCCCTGTAGTGAAAATCAAGTTTTTTATGTTGTTTATTTGTCTATGTGGTGTTTTTAATATGCTTTTAGACAACCATGTGCCAATCCATTAATCAACACCATTGCTGAGAATTTTCTCCTTAAAAGTGTAGTTTCCCAATGGCAGTCCCAGAAATGCCGTTTGAAACAGCCCTAGGTCGTTCATTTTAAGCATTAGTCGACTAATCGCACGTTTGCTAATAAACCATTTAAATCATAATAATGAGCTTTTGTTTGCCTAGTATGCCTATACAGCCTGATAAGCGCTCAAGCGCACGCATAAAGCTTGCCACAGCAAGTAATGATGATGATAAAACAGTAAGGAGGATGCATTAACATTTTAATAATTTATTGATAAACGTTGTTTTCGGCTTTAGAGATTAAATCAGCGACACGGACTCGACATCTCCGCAGTAGCGGATGCACCCTGTATGCATTACATAATCTGAGAATATTTGTTTTCCATTTGACTTGGTTCAATTGAAAAGTAGACATTTCACCGTTTATAGATATATTTTTCATGTCTGTAAAGCACGTATACAAAGAGTTTCGAAGTGACGTGCTCAGGTTCACAGAGACCGAGACGGCAGAAAGCGCATCCTGTTTGCGTTCATTATTTTACAAGTGGTGTTTTTAATATGCTTTTAGACAACCATGTGCCAATCCATTAATCAACACCATTGCTGAGAATTTTCTCCTTAAAAGTGTAGTTTCCCAATGGCAGTCCCAGAAATGCCGTTTGAAACAGCCCTAGGTTTGCTACGTCACAAACCAATAACCAATCACGTCAAGGGATCGAGTCCTATCACAAGCATGCAAAATAGACCAATACCAGCACAAAACCAAAAATAAATTAAACCCAAAAACCCATGAGGCCGTGGTTTATTGTGAATTTAGAACCGCTAACTTGCATTATAGCCCGCGGCAACCGACAGATAAACGTAGGGTCTTTACAGATTACTCTTATCTGTATGAGCAAAAATGACAGAGTATTTTAAGAGCAAGTGACCGCCTCCATCTGTCATGCAGCGAGCGTGCTATTTTTCAGCTTCCACAGCTTCAATAGCACACATTTCTCTAGGTTAACATTAGATTGAGCGGCCTGTAAAAGTAGCCCCAGACCCACCTCTCCCGCATCGGCGTCTGCACTTCACACGCGTATGCTCGCGGGCGCGAATTAACAATCACAAACGGCTGTATTCGAGTCTTCAAGGCATTTTGAGGACACAACATCGTCAAGTAAGTAACGTTAACGAATATTACAGTATTCACTGTAGTTGTCCGCTAGTAAAAACATAGTTTTATCAGTCATTATCCGTGTATGCCATTGTTTTGCGTTTACTACATTTCAGTGAATCAGGAGGCGCTGGCTGGTGTGAGTGAGTGGAGGCGGGGCTAATTTGCATATTCAGTTTATCAATGTTTTAGGAGATCATTACTATATGTGACCCTGGAGCACAAAGTCATAAGTCGCTGGGGTATATTTGTAGCAATAGCCAACAATACATTGTGTGGGTCAAAATGATCGATTTTTCTTTTATGCCAAAAATCATTGGGATAATAAGGAAAGATCATGTTCCATGAAAATATTTTGTCGATTTCCTAGCATAAATATATCAAATTTAAGGGCATTTTAAAGGCAGTTTTCTCAATATTTTGATTTTTTTTGCACCCTCAGATTTTCAAATAGTTGTATCTCAGCCATGAGCGGCCATGTAAAGTTGCAGCTACTAACACATTTCAGATGATAAGTCATATTTGAGGTCAATGAATGATAGGCGAGCGTTTGGATGTTCTGCCCGAGTAGTTTTACCACACAGACCATCCGTTAACGATCTGTCCGTCACGGAAAGCGTGACTTCACCACTTCCTGTGGATTTTTGCGACTAATACAATTTTGGTCGACCAAGACTCTTCTGGTTGACTAACCGTTAGTCGACTATTAGGGGGCAGCCCTACAAACTTGAGAGTGAATGAATGCAGGAATGGATTTGCTCTCACCTCCAAAGGAGAGAAGTCATGGTTGACGAGGAAGGCCAGGCCGCCGACTGGAACAACCAGGAACTCTGCTCTGAACGTGTCGTGGTTGCCATCATACGTGGCCTTGAACTTCACGTATATCAGGTAAACCGTGGCATAAGCACATGCGATATAGATGACCTGCATGGGAACATGCAACAAAACAGTGTTACAAAAAAAAGTCCCAAAATTTAAAAGTACACTTTTAAACTTTGCAGTCAAGAATGACCACCATGGAGGGATAATAAGGAAAGATCATGTTCCATGAAAATATTTTGTCGATTTCCTAGCATAAATATATCAAATTTAAGGGCATTTTAAAGGCAGTTTTCTCAATATTTTGATTTTTTTTGCACCCTCAGATTTTCAAATCACATGCGATATAGATGACCTGCATGGGAACATGCAACAAAACAGTGTTACAAAAAAAAGTCCCAAAATTTAAAAGTACACTTTTAAACTTTGCAGTCAAGAATGACCACCATGGAAATTAAAAATATAAAGCATATTTTTTTTGTGGTACAATCTACAACTCAGTCATGATATCTAAAAATGATGTCTAAAATATATATATATATATAAAAAATTATAAATTAAATGATATACAGTATATTATATATACATATATACACACACACACCATGCATTGGATTTTTTTTAAAGTGTTGCTCTATTTTTAACATAAACACTGTGTTAATAGAATATAATGATATTTTTTTAAATAATATTTGCACTGTTATATAAAAATAATTGATGCATAATTTAGAGATCAAAATGGTCTGACACCATGAAAAGCCCTCTAATAACACGAAATATTAAAGAATAAATATTACAGAAACAAAATATAGTACCTTCTTTTAATTAAAAACAAATTACACTCGCTGTTTCTGTTCTGACCACTGAAAATAATTTCAGCGCAAATCACATTTAGATGTATAAAACTCAATTTCAATGACTGGTTTTGTGGTCCAGGGTCAAATATGTTTTTCCATTGTGAATTTGTACAGAATTTATGGCTTGAATTTCAAAACTGTCTTCATTCCAAACATCAATACACCCTTTGACTCAATTAAAGTATTGTTGAAGGATAAGAACCTATAACTTATTTTGTGCAAACACTTTATTCATAGATGTACGTTTTTAAAGGTTAAACCCCACTTCAGCGGATGGAAAAATGAACTGAAGATATTTGTTAAGTCTCTTCATTACATAATGGACAGAAACGTCCAGAAACTCTTATATGCTTTGAACTTGTTTTTGTTGTTAGAATAAGACCTTCGCACATCTTTTTTATTATTATTATTATGCTTTATCTTTACATTGCTGTTGTTTTTTCTTTTGTTTCTTTCTATTTGCTGTATCAATGCTAATAATATGTGTTCAGTTGTTGAAATGTGCCGTTATAGTTTGTATTTCAACTTTATGTCTTATTTAAAAAAAAAAAACTACTGGGCATGTGCTCATCAATGTAGCGTAATTTTTTGTCACACTGCTGTACACCAATAATGACTGTTTTTGCATTATTTTAAGAGGTAGGTTTAGGGTTGGAGTAGGTGTAGACATTAATAAAGCAAAATCTAATAGGTAGAAAATGTAATTTATTGCTAGCTTAAATTACTTAAATTGCTTAGAAGGCCACAACCCCGAAAACCGAGGCGCGTTAAATCTCACGATGGTTTTTGTATTAGTGGACTAATACAAAAAAAAACATTAGATGATTTCTAGCATTTGAATGGTAACTGCGAATCAGCGTAATACATTAATATAAAATACAATTATTAGGCAGTAATCGCAGTCGACTGTGATTGGTCCGCTCTGATCCACGCGGAGAAAAGTAACAAATGGCACGTGACAACAGGAGTATTTTTACTGAGACGGCGCCGCTAAGCCCCGCCTGTTTGGACTTCCCTGTCGTGTCGATTTCTTTTCCTCTCGTTTTTTTTTTTTTTGGCCTGGGAAGGGTGTGTGGGAAGTTTGCTGGATCCTGCTCTAAATCTATTCAAACACACCTAAACCAAACGAAAAATATATTACATCCGCGCGCGCATACACTCCATTGCTTTGCCAGAAATGTGTTTCTCTGTCACTTCTCATTTCCATCATAATGCAGTTTATTTTATTTTTTAACCCCATTCTTTTTATGAATGTATACTAGAGGGAAAGTTTATCATTTGAGTCCAGGATCAATCCAGAAGCATATGAAATACTGGCTTGTTTAGCATTCAAAAAATATATATAAAAATCCATTTAAAAAGTTTTTATAATAAATTTTTGAAAGCGGAATAATCTCTCTCGCTATAAATAGCTTTTTTTAAATTAGCTTTTCTCTTGCATTTTAATAAATTAATTTGTCTTATTAACATATAGAAGATAAACTAAAAGATATGCTTATCTCATCATCATGTATACGGTCAATATTAACGAAAGCTGAAACCAAATACTGAGAACAAACGTTGATTTATTGCACAGTAAACATATTCAATACAGGACAATACTTGATTTACAACATAAAAAATATGTCTACAAACAGAACATCACATCCCGTAATTAACGATTATCTACATACATGTATGTTGAGATGTTTTGTGTTGTGCACAATATCATTTTACTTGTTCATTAAGAAAAAAATGCTCTTACATTGGTCCTAAGATGTTTCTGACAACTCGTACATCACGTGAGAAATTCACTACAAATGCAGAAAACATAAGGGGAGGCACAGAAGGAGATTTCGAGTTTAATAGCTACCTCTCTCTATTAGATATGATCTTTTTTTGTTTAAATTTCCCCCCACAGGGAACACCTCACACCAGCTGTACTACACTTGTAGTACAATCACTGTACTGTTCATTAGTTGCAATAAGATATAATCATTTGTTTCTCAAAGATTTCATTTTCCTGAGACGTAACACAGACAAGAAACATCATTCATCTTAAACGAAGCCCTTTCATTTCCGCCGAAAGTTCATTCCTGGGGTTTCAGCACGAAGACGGCGTCATCCAGCATGTAGTAGTCCTTGTACATGTCTCCTTCACACAGATACGGCAGGCGAGTGACGGCCTCCACCTCGAACCCCACCTTCAGGAACACGTCTGTGCTCAGGTGAGTCACCTGCTCCTCCCACGTCTTGCCCTGCACCTTGATGTGTTCCTTGGGTCGCACCCAGGTCCCACCTTAAAACACAACAGAATAAGTGGAAAAAGTACAGTCACAAATTAAACAAGAAATACGAATGCATAGCAAAAAAAAAGAAAATCTTTTAAAATCATGTTGAAAACACATAGTTTGAAAAATGGTTTAATAAGTTACAACTGAATACATATTTTTCTTACACCCTGCATACACGTAAATGTGCACATATTTTTTAATTTTTTTTGCAATATTATTTTTATTACATTTTCTTGAAACACAAGACTGACACATGTACATACCGTGTCTGTAACAATACTTACTATGTACAGAAAAGAAAAGAAAACAAACACTAGGGGCTCATATTACATAAAAAGTGTAAAGCACAAAACCAACAAAGGGTTAATACAGTCTGTACTTTGGAAGTTAGATTTAATAATCCATTGCAAACAATAACAACCGCAGTTGTAAGGGGTTAATATAATGCACATTAAAATATATTTAAATACCCAATCAAGAATTTTGATCCTCTATTATATTGTTAATATCCCTACATTCAATAAATAATAAAAATGGACTCCAGATTTTCTTAAATTTAGCTTGTTTACCCTTAAGCATATAGGTTATCGTTTCCATTGCAATGCATTAATATATTTCTCTTAACCAATGAGTTATGGTAGGCCTTTCTGTCTTTTTCCAATAAATGGCAATGAGCCTTTTGCCATGTAAAATGCACATATCTATCAATACTTGATTATCCTTTTTAATATTCCAATTTTCTGGATGAATGCCAAGAATGAAACCCCTGGATCTAATGGTAACCTTATTGAAACCATATGCTCTATCATATTTATAATTTCTTTCCAAAACTCTTTTATTTTGTCACATTCCCACATACAGTGAATTAAGGTACAAATGTGCACATATTAATCAATATAAAAAAGGTAAGCAAATTTAAGCAAAAACATATATATATATACATATACATGTAATTACATAATATATTTTTTCTCAATATAATGTAGTAATATAATTATTACATTTATTAATTATTCATTTTTTTCCTTATTCATGCAATTATTCATAATTATGAATTAAATAAGTACTTACTCTTTTTAGAATAATTAATCATTCTTAATCAAATAAAGGGTTCTCTATCAGATAATTTCCCATTTTATAGTGTTATTCTGCATGTTGGTTGACTTCAATCATCACATGACTTAAATCTGCTGCACAAAGGTTTTTCCAACATTAATAATATTTTAACAAAAGTTAACCATTTTGTTTTATAAGAAATAATAATAAAAGATCGTACCAAAATACTTCAAGAATCGTATTCTTTCTGTGAAAAAAATCTAAATCGATTTCTTTAAAAAAAATCCAAATTTAAATTATTTCTGAATTAAAATGGTGAGTTTTATTGTATGTGTAATGCATTTTAAAAACGGAATTCATTTTTGAATAAACACATTCAATTTTAATAAATTACAATAGACAAAATATGGTGTGTTAAGCTGGCAACACGATAAATAAATAAATAAATTAATTAATATTTAATAATAAAAATTTAATGTAAACAAAGAAAACATGAAAAGTAAAAATAAATAATAACGTGAAATACTGATTTCACTGACAAATCATCTCTTACAAGATGTTAGCTCTGCAAGTGTGCTAATCTATAATAAAGCAGCTAGCAGCAGCCACTCATGAATTGCTCAGTAGTTGTGGTTGCAGCGATCGTCTTACCCGTCTCTATATACGGCTGAAAGGGCAGCACAGCCGCTAAGACGAGGCGTCCCGTGTGCGGCACCAGCGATCTCCTGATGTCCTGCAGCAGCTGCAGCGGCTCGTCGCAGCGGTCCAGCAGGTTCAGACAGCTGATCAGATCATACTGGAAGCCCGTTCGGTTCCACTCATCGATTCCCAGCAAGCTGGAGTTTCAAAGTCAAGCACAGGCTCACGATCACCTCACTTCATTAGCATTTCTACTAGGGATGCACCCAAATGAAAATTCTTGGCTGAAGCTGAAACCGAACAAAACGAAACACTGGGCCGAAGACTGTTTTTCAAGTTTCCCCCCCCATGTATTTTTCAAATGTTTACGCCATTACATAAATTAAATAGCCAAAATGTGCTTTGTACGGTTTTGTCTTACTTTTCAAAGAAAAAAAAAACAATTACAAAAGAACCATTTAAAAATACTGAACATTTTTCTAACATTCTAGCAGATATGATCCATAACAAAGCATAATTTAACTTAAAATTAAGTTAGTAAAAGAATATTTTTGGCCATTTTTTGAGACCCCATTCTTGAATCAGGCTTTACTGTACAAATAAATGCAGCCTAGAAAATATTACAGATCCCAATTTGAACACTATGTGTGAATGTTATAATACATGTATAAATAGAGCTGTTGTAATTATTATTATTGTCTTACTTTTTTAGTTTATTTTACAGAACAACAGTAAAATTACAATACTAACATTTATGAATATTGTTGGAGCTTTTATTTTGGTGGAAACCCGCAGGAAGACTTCTTTTTGTTGACAACAGCAGATTTATGAATGATTCTCATTACGATTTTCGGAAGATGTTTGTCGCACATATCGCATTGTCACACGTCTTGTAAAAATAGTTTCAGAGTAGATTTTCCTCGCGTCCCGTCATTGTTCGGTACAATTTATTCAATCTTTTCAATTATTCGGTCAAACCGAAAGTTTTTTTTTTTTTGCCATTTTCGGCCGAATAATTTCAGTTGTGAACATTCGGTGCATCCCTGATTTCTACTAATGCAGGAGGTGTGAGTACCTGTAATTCTTTCTCTGGAGATGCCACTTCATCGGCGTGGAGACTTCGGTGGCAAACACCTCATGAAAGTGACGGCCCATCACTTCTGTCACGCCTCCGTCACCGGCTCCCAGATCCAGCATCCTCTGCCCTTTCCATTCCGGCTCGATCCGGAGAAGACGCTGAAACTGGTCCTTCGAGAACACAAACATGGAGCCGCGGCCCAGAAAGCTGCGGACCGACAGGACAGGAGGCCATGAGGAGCCGCTCATCAGAAGCAGCGCTGAAGCCTGCGAGAGAGTCAGGGCTGCTTACCCGTTGATGGAGGTTCGAGACATGACCGGGCTGAAGATGGAGGAGAAGAGCGAGTGGTAGAGCTGCGTGAAGAGCCAGCCGGACTTCTCCACGCTTCGGCGGAGGAAAGCCTGCGTGTCCTCATCCAGATGACTCTGAACGAACTGAGAGCAAACCTGTTCTCCGAGCATGTCCGGACAGCAGTGGTACCACTGCAAACACATCCACAGCATACAACAACAGCAAGAAGAAGTTAAAGGTGCTGTATGTAAGTTTTTGACTCTACTAAAGCATAAAAATATCATAATATGTTTGCAGATGTTTAAGAAACATGCTAACTTAACATACTTGTTTATCTGAAAAACAATGCTACAGTCAGTTATTCTCCTTTGAAAATGTCAATAATAAGAAAAAAACTCTATTATGATGGTCTGTATTCTTGATCTATAACATTTACATGGTTTCAATCATTATCATTTCAAACATGTCATGGTAAATGTAAATGCGGATCGTTTTGAATGGTATTACCATGGTATTTTGATGAATGCTATGGTAATGAATGGTTACCACAGTTGCCATATGTTATTACATGGTTACATTTTTAGTAATGTAAAAGCTACCACAACAGAAATGCTTTCTTATGGCAATACCGTGGTATTTTAATAAACACTATGGTAATTATAATTACCATGTGTCATTATATATGCATGGAATTCCAATGGATTTAAAGGGGTCATCGGATGCCCATTTTCCACAAGTTGATATGATTCTTTAGGGTCTTAACGAAAAGTCTGTAACATAGTTTGGTTAAAATTTCTCAATGGTAGTGTAAAAACACCTTTTTTACCCTGTCAAAAACAGCTCTTTTCAGATCAAGCCATTTTTGTAGCATTTCCCTTTAAATGTTAATGAGCTCTGCTGACCCCGCCCCTCTCTTCCGAGCTGCTCTCAGAGGGACTGTTTACTTTAGCCGCATTCATCGTGAAACTTGCTAATTAGCACATTATTAGGAAAGGCGATTTGCAAAGATTCATTAAAAAAAACGTATACTGACTTCTTCTGGAGGTGAAGCTGGATCACCAATGATTTCGCGTGAACATAGACGCATTTAGGTAGATCAGGGCGCATTCCCTTCAGAAACAATGTAATCCACTGCGAGTTCAGCAGCTCAGATGTCGGGAGTAAATGACGACTGCTATGTTCATTATTACATCCAACAACAGAACACCTCAATCGCTTAGGAGTCATTCTTGTCTACATCTGCTCCGGCGGTGAAACAATGGTGGACTGATGACAGCTCACTCAGGGCGGAGCTAAGGTAAGACACCAGTCCAGTCTGTGCTGAAACGCTACTGTCAATCAAACTATCGTGGGAGGGGCCTGTCTGTGTGACGTCACACAGACAGGCATCTGAGATCGGCTCGATTTGAGAAAGGGGAAAACATTTAACCAGATTAAAAAAAAAACACTGGGAGGATTTTTATCATTATAGGGTGGTTGTGTACACACACTGCCAACACACATTTCAGTTCAAACAACTTGTAAAAGTGCATGTAGCATCCGATGACCCCTTTAAAGCAACGCTAATGGTAAATGTACAAAATCATGATCTCACGTCCAAAAACATGGTAATATCATGGTACTTTTTCTTCGTGTAAATGCAACCACAACAGTGATGTTTTCAAACGCCAATACCACTGTACCAAAAACTAGCATGGTCCTTTGAATAAACGCAATAACATCAGTGATGGTTCCAATATCGTGGTACCTTCACATACACTATAGTACTAAAAAATATACATATTCACATCATAGTGTTTACATGGTGCTACCATGGTGAATGTTTGAACATATTGCATTACCAAGTTAGAAAAAAACAGTTTAACCACAAGTTCGAAAGCATTGTAAAAGATGGCACTTTGTGCTAGCTAGTGTAAAACTCTACAACAGTTACTAATAACCAGCTAAACGTCGGGAAGCGTCACTCACTCACTCACCTGCTGGGCTTCATATCCAGGTGAGTCAGGTGAGTCAGTCTCGGTCCCCATGTTCATGATCAGAGCTCGAGCCAGCGGACTGCGAACATACTTTCCAGTCCACATCCTTTTCATTCCCAGTAAAAAAGACACGTAAAACAGCAGCCAAGCGACGAAGATCAGCGTCCTCATCTGCGGAAGACACATAGCGACAGACAGTGTAACTGCAACGAGCGATACCAGGCGGGTTGATAACTTACTAGTCAAGAAATATGATCCCCGGACCCCAATTACAACACGCTAACAAACTAACTAACTAACCTGAAGGCGTGGTGCTGTTTACACGCACACATCTTTGTTATGCATAATCTGAACGGCAAACAGATTTGGCACAAATCAGCTGAGTCCCTTCCAAAAAAGTTCACTTCCTGACTGTGTTACATTTAAAAGAGGCCGACAAAACACGTGACCGCTCATATCCGATGTTACCGCCAGGCGGCGCATGTTAGGGGCCCCGTAGGGGAGAAATAAATGGGAACATGTACAGGATATAAAATTCAGCATTTTATTGCATCTGCATAAATGCATATATTTCATGTTTTTTGATTGTTTTATATGCGTTCTAATGTTTGCAACATGTAAACATTATATGGCCGATTTATAAGCCTTTTAAACTAATTATTGAGGAACTGTCCTCACAGTTTCATGGTATTTTACTGTATTACATGTACATTTATTTACATAGTGAGTATACTCACACACATACAGACACACATTTCTGCTACTGTTCGATACTTTTACTCAATTTCATTCCTGTTACTAAATTGTTTTTTTCCTAAAAAAATAAATAAATAACAAATTCAACGTTAATATCACTTTTTTTATTATTATTATGTTTGGTCCATCATGTATCCTACTGTTTAAAAAAATTACATTGTATTTAAAAATGGCTTTGTGTTGTTGTTTTTTAGAAAAGTAGTACACATTGCATGCATAAATGATGTTTTTCTCGATTATTTTTTTGTCACAAATATCAATCATTTGAACATGTAACCAACCATTTCCAACATGTTTTTTAAAAGATGAATTAACTGAAAAAAATGCATCCATGTAATAAAATTAGGCCTACCTGAGATTGCCCAGTAGGCTACATTTTTTAAATAGTTAAATATGAATGGGAAGTTACAAGCTAATAGCACCCAGATAGATAGATAGATAGATGGATGGATGGATGGATGGATGGATGGATAGATGGATATATATATAGATAGATAGATAGATGGATAGATGGATGGATGGATGGATAGATAGATAGATGGATATATATATAGATAGATAGATAGATAGATAGACAGATAGATCGCATCAAGAAGATGCTCCAACTACCAATAGTTAAAATAAATGTATACAAATTCATGAAGGCAATTATATTATCAAATTTGTTGTTTTAACTTTTGACGCAACCTAAAGTCGTTCAGATATAGTGTACAGGAAAAAAAGATCTACTGTATGTAGGTTATACTGTACACTACTGTACACTGCGCGCACCTGCAGGTAACAGGCGCGTTCACACAGCGTGCGCGCTCCGTTGAGCTCCACCTCGTGCGCGCGCACAGTCCAGATTCAGATGATTAAGCAGAGCACGAGAGCAGAGACGCTCGTTATACACACGCTACGTCTCAGAGAAATCATTTTCAACCATTAAAACAAACCTGTCATATACATTTGCTGACAGGACATTAAGTAGCCTACATGAAACATTTCGAAATTAGAGTTTAACATAGAAACTAGAGGATCCTCAGCTGTTCTGTTTGACTGTTTAAAGATGCTCACAGATATTACAGAAGGAGAATTTGACATCAAAGAGGAAGAACCATGGTACGATCATCAAGATCTGGAACACGGTGAGTGATGCTCTATCTGACTTTCTGTAAAAGTACAAGTTAATAACACTTTTTAAATGAAAAAGGTGGTAGACGACCTCTAGATTGGCTTATTTCGTGAACAATCAATAGCCTATAATGATTGAGAAAGTACTTTCGTTTAGTCTCCATTTAATTATAGTCTTCGAAGTAATGTAATTTGTTCATGAAAACAGCATTGATGACAGGAAAACTGTGTTGTGTGCCTGACTCTCCACCACATCCTGACAGAATGACACATTTTCGACATGAAAGAGTGAAATCAGCTTTGTAATGAACTGCTTATCAGTTTCCTGAGTTGTGAAGTAAAAGGAGAAGTTACTACACACCACCTAGTGACAGAGAGAACCTGATGCCCAAATGATTGCAACATCAACCAGATTTACAAATACTTGTATGCATAAATAAAAAAAAGTCAATTAAAATGGTCCAGACTAATTTTAATTGAGTGTTTTTTGCCTTCAGTTTTGGTTGCTCATTAGATGTTCTCCTCGTCTTCTTCTGCAGATCTTCATTTGGCCGCCGAATTGGGTAAAAATTTACTGGAGCAGAACAGAGACTTAGAAGAGACCCTCCAACAGATGTGCATCACCAACCAGGAACAGATACAGGAGATAGAGGCACTATCTATCTATCTATCTATCTATCTGTCTGTCTGTCTATCTATCTATCTATCTATCTATCTGCATACAGAGCTGGGTAGATTACTTGAAAATTGTAGTTGGTTTGTGATTCCAAATCCATTACATTACACACTACTTTTAGATTACTTTTGGCCTAACTGGTTTGTCACATTGATTTAAATAGGATAATCTCGTACCATACTAATAGAAAAAAAAAATCTATTCCATTCATTGTTATTAACAAAATGAATGCATTTAACATTTCGTCAAAGTTTCCCAAACTGGGACTCGTGAAGGAACTGCAGGGAGTTCATGAGTTTAATGAAAATCTAATAATTTATGATGTCATAAAAATGTAAAATTAAAATAAATCATTTTAAAATAACAACATAACAACAATGAAATATGATGTTTGTTTACCTGCATGTCATGTGACCATTAACCAATGACAGAGAACTGTGAACATGCAAATGTGTTACTTTAACACATACTTTGTTGACCTTATTACCGTAAAATCTCAGTGGTGCTTCAAGTAAATATATTAGGTGGAAGAGGTTCGGCTGATGAAGAAGTTAGGGAATCCCTGCATTACATGTAAATAAGAAATAACATGAATTTGTGTATTTTAATGTGTTTGAAAGACAAAAGCCTTCTAAAGACATATACACATGGTTAAATAAACCCTCTGTTCTGAGGAAACGAAAACCATATGCACAGAAAAGCAGTCTTTTATTGACATGGTTCTTTGGATAGTTCCTCCATCTACATTCTCTGTATAATCAGTTGATTTTATGGTTGTATAAACCTTTGTCTGTTCCATGCAGTGATAAACCATTGTAAAATACAGTACTCACAGAAATAGACAGATATCTAGATGTATTATATCTAAAGGCCATAAATAGAGAATGTATTGCCTAATATTTTAGATACTGTGCCAGATTGTCACTTAGCGTCAATATTTGCAAAGCACAACTGATAGCCATTAGTGCCTCCATAGTGGTTAAACAGTTTAAATGAATGAATCTATAGCTAGAACTTGACTCAGACTTCTCTTAAAAGGCAATAAAACGGATGCATATCTTAGATTTACATTTTGCTAAGAATAACTGAGAAAAAGCCTTTATGCAAATAAGACAGACAAAGGTATCGGAACTTGTTAGATTTCAGTCTAATGTTTCTTTCTCCTTTGTTCAGTATCTTTCTAAGCAGGTGGATATGCTGAGGTCGGCGAACGATCAGCAGGCTAAACTCTACGAGCAGCTGGATTCAACCGCACAAGACCTGGAGCTGAAAAACCAACGACTGGTGCTGGAGAACAGAGCGGCTCAGATGAAGATCGAAGGGTAAGACTTTAGAAACGATGGTAAATGAATGCATGAAGCCAAGGAGAAAATGATTTAAATGGCGTATTTCCTGACGGCAGGCTCACAGAGACGGTAGAAGGGCTGCAGACTCAGGTGGAGGAGCTCCAGAGAGACATGCAGAAGCTGAAGCTGGATTCTGCTGAACAGAACCGGTCCCGTGATCGTGATCCTGACAGTGTTCAGGGTCTCACATGCTGCGAGGAGAAATGTCAGTTACACAAGTAGGTTTCTGCAGTACATTTTTGCATATTTTAAACCCCCACTGTGTTTTGTGCTACAGTAGGTCAAGTACGTGAAACTAGTGGCCTTTAAATGGTCACGGTCAAGTGGATTAGTAAAGAAACAAATTAGCTTCTTCTCATTCGTAGGTTTCAGGCTTAGCAGAACTACCTTCCCACACATTTATATTCCTGCCAGACTCTGCTTAATCTGCTGGAGGTGACGTGGACAGGGTTGTTTGACGCAAGAAAAGGAAAATATATATTGTGTTACATGCGTCTGATTTCACAATTTTCACATTTGCAATGTTATTTCTCACAATTCTGACATCTCACACTTCAAAATGTATTTCTTGCAATTGCAAATTTTATATTTCAGAACTTTATCTCCCATCTTTATATCTAACAATTGCGACTTCATTGTTCATAATTGCGACTTTAAAGGGGTCATAGGATGCTACATGCACTTTTACAAGCTGTTTGAACTGATGTCCTGGCTTAAGCTAAGCCCCATCTGTGAAACCAGGCCTATATCTAACAATTGTGGCTTCATTGTTCTTAATTGCGACTTTATATCTAACAATAGCAGCTTCGTTTTTCGTAATTACGACTTTACATCTAACAACTGCAACTTCATTTTTTTGTAATTGCAACTTTATATCTAACAGTTGTGACTTTTTTGTTAACAATTACACAATTGTTCACAATTGCGACTTAATTGTTCATAATTGTGACTTTATATCTAACAATTGCGACTTGTTTGTTCAGATTTGCTACTTTATATCTAACAATTGCGACTTCATTGTACGTAATTTAGACTTTATATCTAACAATTGCGACTTCATTTTTCTTAATTGCGACTTTATATCTAATAGTTGCGACTTCAACTGCGACTTTATAACTAACAATCGCAACTTCATTGTTTATAATTTATGACTTTATATCTAACAATTGCAACTTTGTTGTTTGTGATTGTGTCTTTATATCTAACACTTTAAGTCCCATCCTTCAGTTTTTCTAATTGAATATTCTGAAATATGCTAAAATAGGCTCTTTTGGTTGATCTCAGAAAAAGTAAATATTTTACACAATATTTTAGTCTGTACAACTCCAGATTTCAGTAAAATGCAATCTGTTGTTGTTTTTAACATGAATTTATACCATTAGGATTCTCGTATATTTCGATCTTCAGTTATCTGACCAACGGCTCTGATTTCTAACCATGCAAAATGTATTTCAGGTACTTTTCCCATGAGCGCTCTGTTTCCACCAGCCGCTCGTCACTGAAGCGTGAGGAACAAGACGAGTACTGGGAGCTGAAGCGCTCGGTTGATTCCCTGCAGGCGCAGCTGAGCACAGAGCGCGCTCAGAGAGAGACGGCCGAGCTGGAAGCTGATGCTCTGGTGCATGAACTCAGCCAGCTGGAGCCCAAAGTGGCGCTGCTTAACAATCGCAACTTCATTGTTTATAATTTATGACTTTATATCTAACAATTGCGACTTTGTTGTTTGTGATTGTGTCTTTATATCTAACACTTTAAGTCCCATCCTTCAGTTTTTCTAATTGAATATTCTGAAATACGCTAAAATAGGCTCTTTTGGTTGATCTCAGAAAAAGTAAATATTTTACACAATATTTTAGTCTGTACAACTCCAGATTTCAGTCAAATGCAATCTGTTGTTGTTTTTAACATGAATTTATACCATTAGGATTCTCATATATTTCGATCTTCAGTTATCTGACCAACGGCTCTGATTTCTAACCATGCTGCATGTATTTCAGGTACTTTTCCCATGAGCGCTCTGTTTCCACCAGCCGCTCGTCACTGAAGCGTGAGGAACAAGACGAGTACTGGGAGCTGAAGCGCTCGGTTGATTCCCTGCAGGCGCAGCTGAGCACAGAGCGCGCTCAGAGAGAGACGGCCGAGCTGGAAGCTGATGCTCTGGTGCATGAACTCAGCCAGCTGGAGCCCAAAGTGGCGCTGCTAGGAGTCTACAAGGAGCACCTGGCTGAGAAGGAGGCTGAAGTCCAGGAGCTCCGCCTGCTTTTGCGCTCGAGCGAAGATAACGTGTTCCTCCCATTGGATGATGAAGTGGGCGGGGCTGGACACAGGGGGCGGTGCTGCAGCGGCGAGAGGCAGTTGCTTAGTGATGAGCAGCCTGCAGTGAAGCATCATGGTATCTCTCTGCTAAATGAGGTGGATGCTCAATACACCGCCCTGCAGGAGAAATACGACACGCTGCTGCGCCGCTGCAATGGTGGGATGTTGTCAGAGAAGCAAAAAACTGGCCAAACGCGCACACACTCGCCGGGTGTAAACACACAGAACGATTCCCAGCAGCCCGAGTACAAGGCCCTGTTTCAGGAGATTTTCACCTTTATCCAAAAGAGCCAAAAGGACCTGAAGGAGAACAGGATCAATCCCGGTCAGGTTGAATGAGGCACTGATCTGCGTCTATAGCTATAGAACTAGTATAGAGACCTTAAAGGTTTGATACGGCAGGTTTATCCCAGGTACTCTCTTGCTTTTATTGCCACTTTTATTACCTGGTGGCGAGTGTATATAAAGCACTTTTGTAAATATTTCTAAATGTTACTGTAAAAAAAAAGCTGTAAACTTAAATGCACTGTAACTGATCTCTGAAGCAAACATGTATTTATAGTGGAGTGAATCTCACAAAAACATTTCCAGGTTATATATTACTACATAATCAATAGGAAAAAATTGATATTAGCATAAATCAATACAATAAATAAAAAGTAAAATAGTAGAAAAATAAAAACACAATATAGCCTTTTGTGCAAATTTAAAAATGTCAAACTATGTTAATGAACATAATTTAACTATCTAAGAAGAATGTAATTAAATTGTAAAAGTTGTTGTAATACTTACAGTTGTGTACAGAAGTTTTACTTTGAAAATCACCCTGACCAGAAACAATTAAAAATCACTGTAAATTATAGGCAGAGAAGATGCAAACATTAGATGAACACAAATATGTATAGATGTTTTATTATTTAAATACATCATTTGTTGGTCTGCATTACAGTAATGTGAAAGAGTGCTTATTTGCCATGAAAATAATGAAATGCAATAATCATAATGATACAAAAATAGTCTTTAATTTTTATATTCTCTTTTGAATTTTGAAGATATATTTACTTTAGCTTTGTGCAATAAAGCCTAGTGTTTTAGTCATTACTGATCTGTGCATTTGTTGCATCGGTTAAAGGAATTCCATTCCATCTTAAAGATGTCAAACAGTTACTTAAATAATATTTTATTGGCACATGAACTTTGTGACACCAGTTTCAGTCTCAACCTTGTTAGTACCATTCATTCATAACCCCATAACAGGGCAAGTGTCTCCAGTCGAGTGTTTGCATGTGAACTTTCACCTGTATCAGTGCAAATGAGAAGACTGAACTTTATACGGCACATAAATGGACTTTCCACCCAGACATCGTCTTCAGTTCCAGAGGAAAGGCTGCTTCTAATCAAGGCCTTTGATAAGATTTGAGTGACGTCGCAGCATTAGGTAATGCATTTATCAGGCTGACATGCGCCGTCTGTTATCTTCAATACAGATGCATTGCACATTAGAGATAGCACTGGGTTGTATTTAAAATGGAAAAATTACAAAGGCATAATGTTGTAAGCTTAGACACTGGGTAGAATTTCAGGAAACGCACATTATAGAACGGACTTATTTTGAGACTTAAAAAAGAACCATTTCTAGCATATTGGGAGAAATATGAAGTACTGTAATGTAATCAGTAATCAATGATTGTGTATATGTAAATTACTAACCTCAAAAACAAATAGTATAGCCCTTGTTCTACTGATATATTTGTCCCTGTATTTCCTTAATACTACATAAAATATTTTCTTGAAAAATTGATCATAAAAATGAAGTATAATTTGACAGTTTCACATTCTAGTAGATTTTCTGCAGTTAACTGAGCATTAGTTTCTATCAAAGTGTTGGTTTTGTATTAGCCTTGCTCAATATTTTGTAATATAAATTAAGAACTATTTTAGTGTCCTTGTTACACATTTTTATTACAGTAATAACTGCAGATAATGCATAATTGCATGCAACTAAATCTTAACCAAAGCATATAGAAAGTTAATATGAACTAATTAACTAAGTATTATTTAGTATATAAATACACGGTAACAAGGACACCTTAAACTAAAGTGGCAGATTGCTTCAAAGCAGCTAAAAAAAAAAAAAGACAGGAAAGTGAACAAATACAAATAACAGTGTTAATGCTGTAGAATTGATCAATTATGAAATCAATTTCAGCTGTAAAGCAGCTCTGTTTAATTTTTCAGCTCAGTTTTTTTCACATTTTGTTCTTATCTGATAATGTCACTGCAGTTAAATCAATAATACTACTGAATGTAAATTGTCTTTTGTAGGACAAAATATAAAACAAGAACTTTTGAAGATGAGTTGTCAGTTGCAACGTTTATTCAGAATGACATACAACTAAAAAAGGTCAGATTTGGGGTTCTCTGCTGTTTGAGTGTGTGACTGTACAGACTTGGCAACGATGATCCAGAATATGAATATGTGGAATGATTAATAAACAGACTTTATGACAGTGAACGCTTTATATGCATGCGTGGAGGAGACACATGTGCATGTGAAGGTGATTTCAGTCATAATTATAAAGATTGCAAATCATACTGATAGAATATTTCCCCTGAATAACTAAGAGGCACTTTCTTTCACACCCAAACACAGTTTAGCAACTTGAGCAAAAATCCCAGATCACTTGCATGACGAGTCGCGAAAAAAAAATAAAAAAAGTGTAACCATTATGCATTTTTTATTTTCAGAAGAAATTAATTTTTAAATTGCTTCAGCATTTATGCAGAATGCCATAAACGGTCTGACATATAATGGACAAGACTGCAAATATAAATCCACTGCAAATGTCATTCAGAGGTTCACATTCCAATGTCAATCTCCCTTCAGGTCCAATAAATATTCATGAGCATTGATTCATATATTAGACTTACAGGGTTTGTCTGTTAGAATTGAGCTAAACTGCTCCAGAATCAACCAACGTTTTGTCCTTTTTTTTGGTTGTCAGAGCTGTAAACATTTCAACGGGAGCTTCATAGCCTTCATTTGACCCAATGAGAGCTGAGAAATTAATATTTCGGAGGATTTATTATAATCTAGTGGTCTTCAAATGTGTCCGTATCCTGCAGCCTGTTTTCTTTGGGTTACAGTAAAGTCATTCTTAAACGTGGGGCAAAATACCAAAAAAAAAAAACTCCTCAATATGCAATAAAATCAAGAAAACGATTGAACCAAACATCTTTTTTCAGTCAGCTAAATGTAAGAAACAAGGCCAAAATCTGCCGACAAGCTCCCAAAGGCCACAAGCAGGATAAAATGAGATGAATCATGATCTCCTGTCATTTTTATTAGCAATACCTACTTTCATATCAGGTCATAAAAAAGAAAGCAATAGAAAACCAGCATAACTGATCGTATGCGTTCAGCACACAACTCCTTTCCTCGTACTTCAATTTTCCACAATCGCAGGATCGAATGGATCTTCAGCCCTTTTCGTGAGATGCTCATGTGACCAGACGTAAGGGTTAACGGAGTGGGCGTGTCCCCGGGCCGGTGGTGTCAGCCGAGGGCAGTGATTGGTTGGTGTGTTGGCTCCGCGTTCACTCTCTCTGAACTCTGAGGGAGGGAGGCGTGTGATTGACAGGATCTGCGGCGCTCCGGCTCTCCTGTCAGGAGGGAACGGTTCCCTTCAGATACCACATCCCTCCCAAACTCATGCAGCACTCCTGAAGCAAACACAACACTGCTGTCAGCAGAGAACACATCACACTTTACTAAGGGTTAACAATGACCGGCACATACAACTTAAATGCTAACACTTTAGTACAGGGACCAATTAACTAGTTGCTTATTATCATGCCTATTAGTAACATATTGGCTGATTATTAGTGCTTATAAAGCACATATTCTGCAAGACCATATTCTTCATCCCTAATCCTACCAATACCTTAAAGGTGGGGTAAGCGATTTTTCAAAAGCGCTTTAGAAAACTGATTCGGGCCGAATAGCAAAACAAACTTGTAGCCAATCAGCAATAAGGGGCGTGTCTACTCATGATGTGGAGGAGAGCGTTCAGTGCACAGGACGGACATTAACCGAGCGACAGAAAGATAGAGATGGCGGATAAAAAAAAAAACAAAAGAGGAAAACGTCTGCGGAACAAAAGAAGGCTTAAAGGTACAATAGGAGATCTTGGAAAATGCTAACTTTAGCCTGATAGCACTGAAAGCGAACGTCCCACCCTTCCTGCAATCGCCGTCCAAAGCCACGCCCCCTGAACGCATTTACACTCACAGACCAGAGACAACATTACTACAATAGGCTACATCAGGTTCCCAATTCCAGCCCATGTTCCGAAGTGAAGTAAACTTCAACGGATTTACCCCGCTCAGGGAGTAGGGAGCAATGAACACTGTGTAGGGATCATATCGATCGGAACACAGTTCATGCACGTAGCTCACTTCTAACGAGCTGGCGCGAGGACTGGATTAACCGCTGGGCTACATCATGTGTCATTCACCAGTGAGAAATCTTTAAAAGTACTACAATACCAGGAAGGAAAATCGGATTGTTGATGTTTGTCTGCCATTCTCGCTCTGTCTGCACAGCGTGCGTGAACGCGCTGATGACGTATCCTGTATGCGCGAACCGGGTGCGCAGAGGAATGCTAATACATACATTGACAGGCAGGTAGGAAAGCATATTAAAACGCTCGGACCGAACGTTTTGATTAGACGAACATTTCTTGATCCTACACCTTCCACAGAATATATAAATACAGACAAATACATTTAGACCACTTAACTTAATGATTGCTATCGGGATGTGAAGAGACTTTCAACCAGCATAACAAAAAATGTTTCTGAAGACAATCACCTATTGCACCTTTAAAACTAACATTTTTTTAAATCTATAAACTAGTTGATGTCAGTAATTGATTTTGTTGGATCAAGTAGTCAACCATCTTGCCCACCCATACCTACTACTGTCATATATTCATTGCCTTCCAAGATAAACTACCATTCAAAAGTTTGGAGGCAGTAAGATTTTTTTTTAAATAAATTAATACTTTTATGCAGCAAGGATGAACTGAATTGTTCATTTATAATGTTACAATACATTTTAAATATTACAATTATTTCAAATAAATGCTGTTCTTCTGAACCTTTAAAAATCCTGAAAAGTGTATTATGGTTTCCACAAAAATATTAAGCAGCAAACTGTTTTCAACATCGATAATAACAAGAAAAGTTTTTTAAGTAGCAAATCTCAAGCATATTAGAATGATTTCTGAATGATCATGTGACACTGAGAACTGAATTAATTACTGCTGAAAATTCAGCTTTGCCATCACAGGAATAAAAGTACATTTTATAATACATTAAAGTAGAAAACAGCTATTGTACATTTTAATTATATTTCACAATATTACTATATTTACTGTATTTTAATAAAATAATGCAGCCTTGCTGAAATAAGAGACTTTCAAAAACATTTAACAAAAAAAAAAAACATAAAAAAAAATCTCTCACCAACCCCAAACTTTGGAACTGTAGTGCACTTCATTTTGACATCAGTTAGCATCAAAAGTTTCTTTCAAAATTTAAACATTAATCTGAGAATCTCAGAATGTCAGGTCAATTCTTTTCAGTCTTATCTAATTAAAACCAGACTCTTTCACCCAATATCTGTGCATTCTAAAATAAATAATTTGGTTCTAACAGATTTAGCTTAGCAACACTAATGTGCATGTCACACTATTGGTAACAATTATGAATTTTGAGTCTCTAGACAAAGAAAATGAGAGCAAGACAAAGACAGAAACAAAGAGAAAGACAGACATCATCTTGCGTCCATGTGCAGGCGTCGCATGCAATGCGTTTTTGACAGACCTCCCAGGCAACACCCTCACCACATTCGAGACAACATTGAAGACAAGATCAATAGACTGATGCTCCATAAAGTTCATAAACATTTATTGCCACCCTGACTGTCTGCATCTATAGACTGGACTAGACACATGACCAGTTACATCTTTACTATGTCAAAAAAAGTCCAAACTATGTGAATTACTAGCTACCAAGCATGCACTCCTTCACTAGCCTGTTTTGTCTCAGACATCTTGATATGGTTTTTTTATTTCTCAAAGGATTTATGAACAGGCCTTACAGACCGCAGTGGAAGTACTTTGAAGCCTGGGCAGCCTCCACAGCTTTAGATGAACATCACTGGTGTCACAGGGGAGA